CCTGCTGCCGTCTGGGGACATCCATGGCCTCCTTGCACTGCCTCGGCCACACGCAGCTGAGCTCTGAAGGCTCTGAGCACCCTGCCTGCTGTTCCACGTCCTCTCTCTGCCCTGCTGGGTGCCCGGGGCCCGGGGGTGACCCCTCCAGGCCACCGCACCTGGGTTCTGTTGTTCCCTGGCAGGTTTTGGCCATTTGGAGGCCCCAGGAGGAGAGCCGAGGGAAGAGGTGCGAAGGTGGCTTTTCTATCTCCCTGTACCTTCACGTTCCTAGCCCACAGCCACAGCTTCTGGTTTCTGACTCCTTCCCCCTCTGCCCCTCCATCATGGCTGCTGCTCTCCCAGGCTCCTGGCAACAGCTTGCCCTTTGAGCCCAAGGGGGTACAGTGCCCGGCTATGCCAGTCCCTGGATGCTTCTGCAGCTCTTGTGGGATCCCTTAACTCTGCCCCTACCTCTGTAGACAGTCCCTGCATTCAACGCTCCTCTGCAGTTCTTTTGAAAGGCCATCTGCGTCCCCGTGAGATGCGACTGAGGTGCCCTGTGCCCACTGTACTATGAACTGAAACAGGCACCCACTTCCATCTCAGCAGCAGCATTAGAGACACTCCAGTGGAAGCAGAGGTCTCACGTGGGGAAGTGTGAAATGGACATTTTACAACTGTTCTCAATCTATGGAAAGCACACTTCAAACATGAGGCCTGCTCATGCTAGATGGCCCTTCTATGAGTGATGTGTGGGTTAATTTGGCATCAAATCTGTTTTATTTCCTTCACATTCAAAGGCACTAGAAGGCCTGCTGCCTGTGTGTATGAACGTGAAGGAAAAGACAACAGAGTGTAAGCAAGAGTCCCCGTTAGTCAGAAAGAACAATGAAAATTTCTTGCCTTCAGTTTAGAACAAAGCTCCAACATAAGTCTGTAGAGTAGCCTCAGGTTCACACACACATGATGATTCTTTAAAAGATTAAAAACATTAAAAGTTAAACAGGCCTGGCAGCCATGCTTACCACAACGCAGGAAATGGGGCACTCGCAGCCATGCTTGCTGTCCAGATTGGGACCGGGCTTCCAGGCCAGGAGTCATCCACCCGATGGTGTCATCCCTGACTGCCTGAAGTCGGCTAGCTCCAGAACAATGGTTGTACTATTGGCGGAAGCGCAACCTACCAGTAGCCTAACGTTTTCTCCCCAACCCAATGTCCTTCCTTGTCTTCCAGACTAAGAACTAGAACACGGGAAGTTACATGTCCAAAGTCCAATGATTAAACAGTGGTAGACACAGGAGGACAAGAGCCTGGCTCCACTGTCTGCCACCCACACACCATCAGTCCGGAAGTCGGGAGGCCTACCCCTCAAGTCCACATTCACCTACCCATTCACCCATCCCATCCTCACCCTAAAACAGACAAACACAGGGGCCCTGGATGGTTGCCAAAGAGGACTGTGTTCAACTGATGAAAAGACGGGATGAGATGCAGGCATCAACACTTTGTCTATTTTCCACTTCTCTGACCTGGAGCTCCAGGACCACCTGTGGGCCCACTCACTCCACCCAATGGCGCCCCCAGATACAAGGCCAGTCTCTGTTTCTCCGCTAAAGGCCTCAGGTCAGAATCCCCCACCACCCACACGCCTACAGACACAACGAGCCACCAGGGGCTGCCCACACCCTGACGTTTGTTTCTCAGTATTTCCCTAGTCTTCCCATGAACAACTAGGTAGGAAGCTACCCCGTGGAGGCGGCAACGCCAGAAGCCGGACTCATTTGCCCAGCCCTCCTCACGGCTGGTGGCACGGCACACATTTCTGGCCAACAGACATAACCAGAACTTCCTCCTAGGCTGCCCCTTTCCAGCCTGGAGTGTGGCTATGGGGCCTCATGGTGAAGCTTTCAGCAGTGGCCAAGGTGACAGTGCACTGGGAGGGTCCCCAACAGCACTGCGGAGCAGCTACTCGGGGCTCTGGACTTCCTGGCAGTGGACAGAATAGTCCTCCGGTAGCTGATCTTCGTTCCCCGCAGCCATTCCCATCCCTAACTCACTGCATGCAAACTAGAAAGAAGCTGGACTTTAAAGTCAGAAATGCAACACGCAAATCCTAACTTCCACTAGAGCTTGGGCAAAGTTAAACTTTCCGCCTGTCAGTTTCCCCCTCTGTCACCTGGGACTGACAACACAGAGGTGGACAGCTCCTTCCTTCGGCAACAATGTCTCAACTTTTACTTGTGGACCCTGGCTGCCCTGGCAGCCTGGGATCTGGGTAGCACTGCTAATCAAGACGTGCTGCCCTCCCTGCTGGGGTGGTCAGTTGGATGTGTCTACTTCGCAAGCTATTCACGTAAACACCAGCGCTGCTGTGACAGTATTCTGTGGACGTGGTTAACAGCTACAATCTGCTGGCCTTATGAAGAGGAGACTATGTCTGATAATCCCAGCGGATGGCAGCCGTTTGATTAAAGGCCTTGACGGCTGAACGGAGGGTTCTCTGAGGAGCACTAGCGCCTGCCAGCGAGCTTCTCGCCTGGTGACCTGCCCTAGGGACTTCAGACATGGCCAGCCAGCCCCACAGTCGAGGAAGCCTGTCTGTCCCTCCCACTGTTTCTCTGGTGGAACCCTGACTGCCAGCACCAGGGAGGAGGGTGGGCAAGTGGCACAAGTGACGGAGATGAAGCACTTGCTAAATGCTGACAATGTGGACTTGGGACAAAAATGGCACCGATGGAAGTGCCAGGGGTCAGTGCTGGCGTCGGGGCTGCTCGCTGCTGCTCCCGGAGGCCCCAGCACTGCCTGGCTCCTGCTCTTCCCACGGCCTGGTCAAGCTCGCCTCTGCTTCTGGGGAGCCCCCCACCGTCTCCTGCTCAGTTTCTAGGGTCGAGTGAGTTTCTGTGCCTTACAACCTCAGAGCCCTTAACTGGCGTCCTCTCGAGGGACCAGAACGCACAG